AACCGCCGCGGCCGCCCGGCCTCCAGGCGCCGGGCAGGCAGATCCGCCGCCTCCGCGCGACGAGGCCCCAGGTCGGTGCTCCGAAGGCCCGCAGCCCTCGCGGTCGGGTCCGCTGGGACCGAAGGTCGGAGCGCGCCCCCTGGCGGAGGCCCAGAGCGGCGTTTGCAGGGCCAAAGCCAAGGCTGTGCTGGACGCCTGCCCTTGGCTCGCCCGAGGCTACCTGCCCAGCCACACCCATTTCTCTGAACATCCCCTCCCCCACTCCCTCCAACTTTAGGGATACCCGGTGGCCGTCAGTCCTGGAAGGGGAGGGGAAGGAACACTGCCCTGTTCGTGATGTCTAGTGGCCATCCACACGCAAGCAGCTCCGTACATGTTCGTGGTATTCATTCATTTTTGGAAAGGGAGCAAAATTCTCCAGTTTTCCAGAGAACCATACTTACAGCACACTCAATGCATATTGTGCGCATAACGTTCGTGGGAAAATGGAATTAAAAGATACATGTAAAAATATAAAATTTACTTCTCAGCATATAAGCTCCATCAAGGTCAGCATACATTGGTAAGTGATCATACCAGCCATTTAGTCCACCCCTGAGGATGTGATCATGTCAGTGCAGTATTAAATAAACATCGTTAACTGAAGAAATATTGTTTTTAATTTTGAGATTAAACAAAAGATTTTGAAAATCCTTAGAGTCTTAAAGATGAAAAAAAACACTGTCACCCCCCAGCCCTCCCTTAAAGTAAATTCTGACCAGGTTTCTGAGACTACATCTTTAATGGAGCCAACAGCCTCATCTGTCTCTCCTGGAGCAGAACAGATGATGGATTTGCAGGCTAGTGCCTAACTCATAGAGCCACCAGGACTGATATTTTTAAGACTGGGGAACCCAAAGACGCCAGGAAACAAGTGGATGCCTAATGATTTCCCATCAATTCTCTTGAAATATTTGCTCCTGAATCCTTTAGGGGCAAGGTGTGCTGTTCACTTGTCTTGAGGGCCGCCATGCTGTGAGGAAGCCCAGCTTCACCCGTGGAGAAAGATTACATAGAAGTGCTCTGACAGGCCAGCTCTCATCTTCAGCCTGTGTGATGGCCATCGCAGGCAGCTAAGCCCATCCTGAATCGTGGTCCACAGAAACAGATAGTAAAATGCTCATTGTTTCATGCCATGAGGCTTGTGGGGCCTGTTATATAACAACAGGAGCCATCACTGTTCTCATGAATCAGTTCACAAGACAATGCTGGGCTTTGGGCCCTGAAGCCAAGGACCAGATCCCTGATCCTTGGTGCCACCCTGTAGTTCCTGGACAGCCAGATAACTTCCGACACCAATATCTCTATGTCCCGCTCTTTCACCTTAACACAGAAATAAAAACTACATCAATATTAATGACAATGAGATCTTTAAGGAAAATGCTTTAATCTTCAATTATTACAACGGTGGCCCCATTGTAGAGCAAGTATTACACTCACATTTTGGTGGTGGCATATTTTTCTGTAATGAAAATGTCTTTCCACTAACAGCTTCAACCCTTAGGAGAACCGAAAAGGAAAAAAGAAGTTACATGCATTGAGATATTTGTTGCAGCAATATTTATAAGTTGGAATGAACACACGTCTAAAATTTGAGGGGTGCTTGAGTAAATATGAAAGATACCCTTGTGGAAGGTTATGAAGCCCTTAAATATAATCCATAACAACTGTATTAGCCTGGGTTCTCTAGAGAAATATCCCCAGTCATATATATAGGTGTATATCTATGGATGTATCTAGATAGATATGGTCTCTATAGTCTCTACTTGTCTATGGTTTCTGAGGCCATAAACTTTCATTGTTGCTGACAGACTCATCGTCCTCTTGGAGTGAGTGGCAGGTGATCTTGAACTGCTGACCTGTGGTTAGCAGTCCTAATCCCCAACAGCACCACTGGGCTGACAATCAGAAACAGAACAACCAAACCGCTGCCTGGTCCTGTGCCACTGTCTTCATGATCATGGCTATGTTTGAATCCATTGCTTCTGTAACTGTGTCAGTCCATCTCCAGGAGGGCTTCCTTTTCCTTTGCTGACCTTTCTCTTTACCAAGCATGACATCACTGTTTCATGGGAAGGTCAAAGTAAGCAAATCCTGGTCTTGCCATCCCTACTTCTATCTAGGATTAGATACCTAGAGAGAACCATGAAGTAAACAGGCTGGAAGACTGAATATAAAGGAAATACCCATCATTGCTTTAGGGCAGAAAGATTAGGGGTATTTAAGAAGCCCTGATGGCTCTGTGGGTTAGGTGTTAGGCTACAAACTGCAAGGTTGGCAGCTTAAATCCACCAGCTGCTTCATGGGAAAATGAGGAGGCTGTCTGCTCCTCTAAAGATTTAGTGTCAGAAACTCTATAAAGTCACTATGAGTTGGCGTCAACTTGATGGCAGTTGGCATTTGGCTTATATTGCATAAATTTATTTTAAAGTACAGCAATGTGTTTATTTAAAGCACACAAGTGAATATTCTTTATTTCCATAAAAAGGAACATCATAGACAAATCAGTCATCATATCAGAGGGTATGACAGGCAAGAGAGGTGAAATGACATTTAAAAAATGCTTGTAGTTTGACTCAATTGACACCCACTCCAGTTCTGTGCCAGTGAGGTTAGAAAGTAAAAAATGACATTTTTCAAACTCCCTTGTAGCGTAGGTTCTACATGTGACCCAAATCCCACCAAGCACAAGTACACTTCTGGGGCCAAGGTGGCAGCCACATACTGATGTTGGCAAGCACAGAGGGGGCCATGTCTTGGTCTTTGGGGAAGCTATGGAAGGTCCTGACATCCAGCCCCTCCCATCATAGGGTTTTCCAACTTCCAGCCCCTCCCATCATAGGGTTTTCGTGGCCGTAGCAGCAGCAGCAGTGGTTTTCCAAGGAGCCGTCCCACAGTGTGGCTGGGCCTTTCTCTGGCTGCTCTGCCCTGGCCACATAGTTGCTCAGGCTGCCAGACAGTGTCAACTAGCTCAAGTGCTGCTTGAGCAAATTCTGCCGTTTGTGACTAAGAACCCTTTCAGATAACAACATGTGATTTCAAAGTTGGTTTTCTTAGATTTCCAGATAGACTAACAGGCTGGGGTAAGACAAAGAGTGCAATTCACTATTTAAAGGAGTCCCAGGAGCACAGTGGCTAAGCAAAGGTTGGTGGTTCGAGATCCCATGGGGCAGTTCTACTCCACTCTGTCATACGGGTTACCATGAGTTGGAATTGACATCATCAATTCACTTTTTAGAAAAGTAAGTCAGTTTCCTCTTACACTGTAAACTTCCACAGTATCACCTGTGGGGAGGTGAGGTGCTTGAGGCTAATTTGTGCAGGCATCTGAGTGGTGGAACCTCTGGTCCCAGTTTGTGTCTGGGCCAAGGCTGCAGGTGGCCTTCCACAGATTTGTCAGGCTTTCCTGGGGGACCTGCCAGGAGGCTGACTGCAACAGAGCCCGAGAAACTCCTCGAGGAAGAATCAACTCTAAGAGCAGCGGGCAGTGGCTGTTGAAAAACTTTTCATGCTGCAAATGGGAAACAACTTCAGGTTTTGCAGCAAATAGCGTCCTTTGTGTTACACCACACAGTCACTAAAAGAGGCTAAAGCTGATGACCACAGTTTTCAGAAACGTCTAAGGTTCTGGGAATTTTTACACACAAGCAGCTATATTTCTTACCTAGTTGTAATATAAATGAATAATTGAAGACAATTCTAAGTTATTTTAAATACACTATTTTATTATTGTATTAAACCACTTTGATTCTTAATGAGAAAAGGCTGGTCAAAGCATACAAGCCAGAAGTCAGAAAAATCCAAAGGAAAAGGGATTCATGCCACTGTCAATATTTCAGTGAAGAGTATTGCTAATATTTTTGTTTTATATTTCTAAAATTGATACCAAATATCATATGCTTTCCATACTTCTGTTCATCTGTAAATATGTCATGAACTTTTTTTCCTAAAAAGTATTTCGATAACTTGATTTTTATTTATTTTTTAACAATTTTATTGGATTTACATATCATATAAATCACTAGTTCAATCATTCAATCATATCAAGGAGAATTGTACAATCACCCCCACATCAATTCCAGAGCATTCCCACCTCCCTCTGCCCCACATGGTTTAATCACCTTTAGGATGATTTATGTGATCACAATCCATTCTAGTGCTTCCCCCACCTCCTGCCTTCATTAGTTACTTCTGAAATTCCCTTTCCCTCCCTATCTCCCTGCTACCCTGTATTCCCTATATCCCCTTTTATCTGTTTTATCATTATGCATCCACTCCTTCTGTGCTTTACAGCTGGTAGACCCAACAGGAATCAAGAAAATACAAAATCGTGCTAAGGTGGTATGTTAGTCCAGGTTGACTAGAGAAACAAATTCATGGGACACTCATATATGTATAGGAAAAACTTTATATCAAAGAACAATTGTATATTAAGAAAACATCCCAGCCCAGTTCATATCAAGTCCATAAGTCCGATATTAGCCCATAAGTCTGATACCAGTCTGTAAATTCCTCTTCAGACTCATGCAACACATGCAATGGCACAGAATGCAGAAAGATAGCAGGCCAGTGGGTGGAAAGTTTTGTGGATGCAGTGGCATTGTAAGCACCTCAGTGCTAGTGTGGGTCTCAATGTGGCTACTCCAGCTCCAGGGCTCTGGCTCCATCAACTTAGCTCCATTTGTCTTGTCAACAGGAATGTCTCCCAGGGAAATGAAGCAGAGAGAGTGTGTCTCACTTCCAGTGAGCTATTTATCTCTATTGCACCTCCAAATGAGTTCGTCAATCTGTGACCGGATTGGCAGGCTAGACTCCATCCCTTCACAAGTTGACAGATTATGTAAATACCACAGATGGTAAGGGTAAAAATATAATAGTATACATACAAAAATATTAATAATGCATATGAAGGAAAAGACCCACACCAACATTCAAAAAGCCAGGGAAGAAATTTCTGTCATGGAACCAGTGAGAGATTATTACACCCAGAACAAATGCAGGTTTGTCTATAGGGTGGTCAACCGGCCAAGTGTCGAGTTCGATCCAGCATAATCAAGATTACACTGGTCTCTGCCTGACAGTAAGTTTGTGACTCTTGCCTGTGGTTTGAGCAGATCTGCCAGTGGCTCAGCCTGACTAGATACTCTGTGGATGGGTTTTGAGCCTCATCTTTCCCCAGCAGAGCAGCTGGTGGTTTTG